TTTTCATTGTTTTCTTCTATGTTCTGTTCTGCTTCTATACTATCTATACTGTCTCTATGACATATATCTACCAGACTATTTCCTTTACACTTATAGGCATTGTGGCCTTCCCCTCTGAGGCAGTCACTTATACTATCATGTACACAACCATTATCTTGTATGTTTGGAAAGCAATCAAGCATATCAATCATGGCTATATTGACCTATTATATGAGACTATTCACATTTCAGAACATCTTGAAAAATCAAAACCAGTTAACAATACTGAAGTATACATCACTTATTATGAAAATATTCCCGGTGTGAATCAACACGTATTTGATCATTTAGTGGAGAAGCATCTTCCTTTAAGAGTTCAAGTCTTCCTTTCTGGGGTGTACCTATCAGTCATAGGATCATTTGTATATTCAAGCATATCAGTGGTTCAGGCATATAACAGGCAAGCTCAGTTGTCAGTTGTTGTTCAAGCTCTTGCAGCAGTTATAGCTGGAATCATACCACAACTGGTTGAATTCTTTTGGTCATCCGCAAATGCCAAAGCCAAAGATAAAAGATTTAAATGTTCTTTGAAGCATAGCATAGTTGAGTATTGGGAAAAGAGGAATTGGTATTTATCTCAAAGTGAATCAACTGCTATTTGATATCATTAAGGTAGTTAGCTTGTCATGATTTGAGCTAACTTCTTAAATATCAAGAAAAGAAACAACCTTGTGAAATTTAATTTCCTCAAAATAGTATTTCATAAAAATGGAGGGCTCAGAATTTAAGTTTTTGTGTGTTTTTCATATTGATGAATATTCAGTGAGCTGTAGTTATCTTACCTCAAAAAAGGTATGATATTGTCATCATTGCTAGTAAAACAAAGCATGGTTAGACAATTTTTGACATTAAGTTGAAAATTAAAACTCTGAAGTCTATTGCTTTTCTTTCTATTCTTTGTTTGATGTTCTCTTGCTTTTCTTATTGTTCCACTTGCCACAAATTTTTGTAAGCAATTTTAGCATGGTACATGTAGTACAACATTGAAATATGAGTTTTGATACCAAAACATACTTTTCTCCAAACTAAATAAAGTTACTTGGTGAAACTTTCAGATGTTTATGATAATTAAATTGTCTTTCAGAGGAATAAATTTCAAGAATATTTCTTCCTTACTCACTGAGTTCTTCTATGTATATCTCGGTATAATATTTTGGGGACACCCTGTAGTTGAGCCACATGCCCTTCATTACACCTTTTTCTTCAATTCTTATATTTTGGAAAGAATATTTCACAAATAATTTTTTTTGTTTCTGAGTTACTTTATTGACTCTGTGATGTAACATTCCAAATTGCCAAAATGTTTAATATTTGATAATCCATTTAAAGTTCTTGGTGACTATGGCAAAGTACTTAATCAATTTTAATTTCACAAATGTAGTAGAATTTTATCTGGCACTCCCAGTTGTGGAACAGAAAGTCATCACCACCATATAGCACTACACACTTCTGGACATTGAGATTATTTGGCTCGTTAGGGCGCCATGGAGCAAACGATATGGGCTTTGTCTTCCGTGATGGACCACCCATCCACTGCCATGTCCCAAATAGCATGTTACCACCAACATGAAATGAGTTCCCATTTCTATCACCATTACCGACAATCCCCCTTCCTTTGATTTCATTTCGCAAAAAATCAAGCTCTTCTTGGGTTTCTATTGCAACCAGATTTGCATCCATGCCTGCGCAAACAGATAGGGCATCGTACCATGAGATCTTCTCAGATATGACGAAATTATAGCAGGATCCCAAGGCTGGATTATAGAAGAAATTCAATGGACAGACAGAACCTTGGTTGCAAGTGTCTCCTTGACCTTGTACATCTTGAATGGTCATCATTATGGTTACAATGACAGACAACAGAGTGATGAAACCTCTCATTGTAAAGTGTTGCCTGAAACAATATTAATAATGAATTAATGTGTATTTTATATAAATAACAAAAATCATTAATAAGTACAGGGTGACCGGAAAAAAAGGAGACCACTGAAATAGGCAATATCTCCTAAACTAGACTAGTGACATCAATGAAATTTTGCATACATCATGACAGTCCTATGGAAATATGTTCCTGAAAGTGTCAATACAACCAGTCAACTGGTTCAGGAGCTATGATCATTTACATAACATGCTCCAATTGAGACCAACGCAGAACTGGATACATATGGCAAATACCCTTACATATTCAGACCTTGTTATGGCATTACATTTAGCATTTATTGCCTTCTTTAGGTCAGCAATTGTCTCAGGATTGTTTTGGTACACATTGTCTTTCAAATTGCCCCACAAAAAGAAATCAGGTGGATTCAAGTTTGAGGTGTATGGAGACGAAGCTTATCTGACCTATGGCTTCTGACTCAGTGGTCCCACTCAGTTACAGTATCATCCTAAGGAGGTTTTGGGCAGCCCTTGGTTTCCATATGGGATTTAATTGTGCCATATAGTGGTTTTAGTAACATGGCACTATGCCCAATACCTAAAGAGACTCTTAAGATTGGGTAAATCAGCACTTTGGCAACAGGATGATGAACCACATGTCAGATAACCCTTCATTGCCATACAGCCTAGACTTGAATCCTGCTGATTTCTTTTTGTATGGATATTTGAAAGATAATCTATACCAAAACAATCCTCAGACTATTGTTGACCTAAAGAAGGCAATTACTGCTATATGTAATGCCATAATAATGCCATAGAGGGCAGAACATGTAAGGGTAGTTTGCCATATGAATCCAACTCTGCGTTGGTCTCAATTGTGCCTATTTGGAGCATGTTATGTAAATGATCATAGCTCCTGAACCAGTTGAATGCTTGTATTGAAACCTTCAGTAACAAATTTCCATATAACTGTTCCAGTGTATGCAAAATTTCATTGATGTCACTTGTCTAGTTTAGGAGAAATTGATTACTTCAATGGTCTCCTTTTTTTCCGGTCACCCTGTACATCAGTACAAAACCATGATGATTATAGGTGATAGGCTCTATGTGATGGTACAATACAGTAGCCACATCAACTCTGTTCCAGTCTCCTGAAGGAGAAGTCTCTCATATTGCTACCAACCCCAATGTCATAGTCTAGTCTTTTGAGTCACAAGCAGGCATTTGCCGGAGGTCATTTAAATATATTTAGTTGTGTATTTAATGTAAATGTATGAACCCAAATCACGATAATAAAACTGTATAATGTATTTGTTTAGATGTAATTTAAGAAACCATTTTGTTTTTTACATAATAAAAACAATTTTGAATATGACGTTACTTCTATCTTGAAATCAAATATAAACAGTATACAGTTTAAGTAACATATATAACATAACACTATGCTTTACTTACCAATAGCAAAGATGATACCAATGAGATGCACTTTTGACAAATGTACAAGCTGCCTGTATGATTTAAAAAAAGCTTTTCTTTTTTCAACTTTTTATATATGTAATTGACAGAATTCAGCTATTCTTAATTCTTAATCAAAAGATTGCATTTGGAAATTGTATGTCAAAAAATATAACGGTAATGAAAATTAAACTAATTTTAGTTCTGCTACAATATTTCCTAATTAATCAACAGATTTGCATTTGGAAATTATATGTCAAATAACTAATTATATGAGAGTTCACATTGACATATGCTTTATTACAATTTTTGCAGCAAGCTAAATTATTGTATATTGTAATTAAACTGGAAACAGAACAGCAGAATTCATTTTAACGTCTAGTTTGTGTGCCTGGAAAACAAGGGTGATTCCTTTTACATATGATATTAGATAAAATATTCCACTTTTGGGAAGGGCTTTATTACCATTTCATTCAGTGATATCCATTACTTTGGTTTTAATGAAAAATGCTTCCTTCTGTCAATAAATCTAAAGGGATATTATCAACTACTCAGTATTCGATTTTTTCTCTAACCTGGTGTTTCACTTGCACCCTTACAAGTATACTATATATATGAATAATAGTTTTGCGAAAAAATAACATACACTGTATTTACTCTTTGGTAGTTGTAGAATGCAAGATATAATTTAATTAAATGATTATTAGATTTATTAAAAGGACCAGATTCCTGAGATTCAGCACTATATAAATGGTTAATATTGTAGTTATAACAATTGTGTGCTTAACTATATGATAAATACAGAATATCACATCATTTTGAGTGATATCATTTTTATCGCCGAGTTGATATCAAATATCAACACGAGTGAGCGAAGCGAATGAGTGTTGATATTTGATATCTACGAGGCGATAAAATGATATCACGAGAAATTATGTGATATTGGGTTTATCCCATGATTACAATCACCTTGTGATGTTTTTTAATTTTAATTTTAAATTCTTCGTCAGACGAATTCGCACCGGCCATTTTGATTTGTACTTTACTCACTGCGCAGTAATATGCACTACTTTCTGTACATGATATACATGTAGTTCGTCATAAATACCATTTTTAATTGTTAGTTAGCAGCCTTCTAATCAAATTATATACACAATTGTAATTCAATACACCAATGAAACTTAAAGAGAATAAATTAACGGACGTATTTTCTCAAAAGAGAATAAATTATCTGACCTAATTTCCAACAATATTGTGGTGCGAAATGCAAATGTGATATCACACGGATATGCGTGAGATAAACGATATCACACGCATATGAGTTTGATAAACAATTTTCTGGAAAATATCACACGGATTTCAATAATATCTGAAATATCAATAGCTGTGTTATTGTACAGATAACACATTAATCGTGGGATAAATAAAGAATATATAGTACTATATATATATAAACAATATAAGCCAAATGTGAGGCTGATAAACAATTTTCTGAAAAATATCACACTAGCCTCCATAATATCAGAAATATCACTTGGTTTGATTGTTCAGATTACGCAAGAATCATGATGGGATATTACCCTGTAAACGTAACATGCACTTGTTTTTATTGTATTGTGTATTTTCAGACAGTGACAATGAACCCAAAACAACAGCAGCAGCAGGAGTGAAGGGTGGAACTGTTACTAAAATAAGATGTAAGTGCACAAAATCAAGGAGTCCAATTTTGAACCTGAATTACATCTTAAAATATGTCTCGGTCAAGGTGGTTTACATGAGATTTGACTCGCTTCTGAAGCCGTGATGTAACGATATCTCAACCTTCGATATTGTATTATTATTAACACATATTGTTGTATCTTCATGTTCCTGTCATTTATTGGAACCCAACCCAGTTTTCCAAATACAGAATGTTATCTCGAGTATAATTCATGACTGAAAGGAAACAACACTGAGGAGGAAGGTTTCTCAAAGAAACCAGGAAAGTACATTTCACAAGAAAATTTTTCCTGGTTTCCTAATCGAGGGAATTGTGAATATCCCAGCAATGGCACTATTAATTTCTAAGTTGTAATCATCGTATTTTGAAACTGTAACTCACAAACTACATACTTGCCGAATATTTTGTTGTGATTGGAGTTCCTCCCCAGTGCTATACTGACCTGTACAAGTACAGGTTTGCGTATGTATACATATTCCAAAAAAACTTTTTTCAGCAAAATGAAAACTGCTTCTTGACTAACTAAATTAATGGTTGTATCCATTTTATGGGTGACAATGCTGGTAATTTACACTGGATTGATTCAGGCTCTGATTTTTGCCTCATTTTGAAGAAGTTAGCTTTTTTATCGTACCTAACAAAAGGTACGATATTGTAGTCAGCTTGACGGGCGGGCGGGCGGGCGGCGTCTCACTTTTCAGCTTGTCTACAGGTTTCCAGCCAAACCATTTGAGGGATTCATCTGAAATTTTCAGGGATGTTTCTACATATCAACGTCAAGAACTGATTAGTTTTTGGGCATTCTGGGTAAATCTTAAGGTGGCCATTTTGGATTTTCCGTCCTAAAATCTTCACTTTCAAGACTTGTCTACAAGTTTCCAGCCAAACCATTTGAGGGATTCATCTGAAATTTTCAGGGATGTTTCTACATATCAACGTCAAGAACTGATTAGTTTTTGGGCATTCTGGATAAATCTTAAGGTGGCCATTTTGGATTTTCCGTCCTAAAATCTTCACTTTCAAGACTTGTCTACAGGTTTCCAGCCAAACCATTTGAGGGATTCATCTGAAATTTTCAGGGATGTTTCTACATATCAACGTCAAGAACTGATTAGTTTTTGGGCATTCTGGGTAAATCTTAAGGTGGCCATTTTGGATTTTCCGTCCTAAAATCTTCACTTTCAAGACTTGTCTACAGGTTTCCAGCCAAACCATTTGAGGGATTCATCTGAAATTTTCAGGGATGTTTCTACATATCAACGTCAAGAACTGATTAGTTTTTGGGCATTCTGGGTAAATTTTAAGGTGGCCATTTTGGATTTTCTGTCCTAAAATCTTCACTTTCAAGACTTGTCTACAGATTTTCAGCCAAACCTTTTGAGGGATTCATCTGAAATTTTCAGGGATGTTTCTACATATCAAAGTCAAGAACTGATTGGTTTTTGGGCATTCTGGGTAAATCTTAAGGTGGCCATTTTGGATTTTCCGTCCTAAAATCTTCACTTTCAAGACTTGTCTACAGGTTTCCAGCCAAACCGTTCAAATTTTTACATATGTTACACAGTGATAAGTTCTAGAGCTGATTAACTTTTCTGCGGCCATCTTGCTTTCTTGGTCAACAAGACCACAATGCTGTGTTTTAGGTACGATATTGTTCACGTCTGTGCCTTGTCATCAAAATATCACCTACCATACCCTGTGAGCCCAGTGAATTATAATGATGCCATTTTTATGTCACCACCAGAAGTGGTGACATATTGTTATAGTTTCCAACTTTTTTGTGGATGTTATTTGGCATTCGGTGTTGAATCATAATTGTGCCATTTTTATGTCACCACCAGAAGTGGTGACATATTCTTATAGTCAACAATTTTTTTGAGGACATTGGTTGGTGATTGGTGTTCCAAGTTTAGAGTCTATAACAAATGGCAGGTGGTGACACTTTACACGTTAACGCCTTGTTAATCATTTGCATGACTTTCATTCTATATTTACTCTTGCAGTTCGCAAGTCTGTACTAACCTCAATGGACAAGCAAACTGAAGATGCAGTTCGACTTTACATTGCAAGACCTGTATTGAAAAAGGTAACGATTTTTGGCCTTTTTTGAATTTTCATTTATTCATAATAATGAATGTTGTATATTCAGTAGTTGTCCAAGAAGCATGTAAGTGTGAATCGCATAAGGGCATCATAGCACTATAGCAGTGATTTTATTTTCAAAAAATAAAGCACCTAAAAATATTTTCTTCCAGCTCAGTGCTTTGCCACTGAGCTATAGAGGCAATGATGGCAGTGCATGTTATGTTTCTGGAAATTCAAGGTTTTTGAAATGGTCACATAAATTACTGACTTGTCCATGCTGAATGGTCTATGGCCATCAAATGCAATAAAATGTCATGGAAATTAGATGGTCGATTATGATCATTGAATGGCACCATTGCATTTCATGGTTATAAACACTTTTTTGCATTAGTTTTCCTTTGAAAACATCCCATTCTGCAGTATTCCATGGTTGAGAACCAGGACATCTCTGCATTTCATGGTTTCTGACCAATTTGAAGCAAGTTGGAAAAGTCTTTTTTGTCCTTTTTTGCCTTCAATATCTCAAGATTGGTGCAAAATTTTAATAGCTGATTAATACTAATACTGTATGTGTAAGATTTTTCACTTTGATAGAAATTTCTTTTCTGTCAAGTTCAGCCCAGGTCCCTAGTAGGACCATATAATAGAAAGCTAGTTGGAAGTAGGAGAAAATTATGTGAGGAAGAATAGAGAATAACGCGACACTAGAATTGTTTTCATGGCCTGAGTTCGTCGCTAACATGCTAAATTTAAGAGTTAGCTGACGTTTGGGAGTCTGACTTACCTTCTAAAGGTTAGAACCCAAATCTTAATGAAACCATATCACCTTTGTTGCATCGATGATGATGCATAAACACAGCATTTGATAGAAATTAGTGTAAATGCTTTTCCGACTTTTTCATTTTTCATCAATGTTGACTTCCGGGAAGGCGTTGTAGTTATCACGAAATCACGCATTGACCCTTGAACTTTACTTTGTTGACGTGTCAACCAAGCATGTCTGGTGTGAAAATTAAAAGAATATTAAGCAATGTTCTACATCCGCCAAGCTAAGTGAAGTAGCCAATATTTAAAATTACCAATTTCAAGTGAAGTACGCAACGAACGTAACTGCGTGATCTACACTCCCACTATTGGTCTGAACGAAATGCTACGTAGAAATATGAGCCATCTGCTGTATTAGTCGATTAATAGAGTAAGACCTGTTGGTGATGCTTTATAATTTAGACCAAAACATTGAAGAACAAACGAACCTGTAAATCGTGAAAACAATGAACAAATATTCGGTTTTCACATATGTTCGGTAATTTTTCGTATTGAAACTTCCGGAACTTACAAGGATATCATTCATTTTCACGGTCCATGATTTACCTCTTGGATGTTGTGGCAAATGCTCCATGGTTGACGGAACAAAGTTGATATGGTTTCATTAAGATACGGGTTCTAACCTTTTGAAGGTAAGTCAGACTCCCAAACGTCAGCTAACTCTTATATTTAGCATGTAAGCGACGAACTCAGGCCATGAAAACAATTCTAAGCTTACAAGCAATCTTATGGAGGACCCCATAGGCACATTTGAAAATTTGAAGTCAGTCAGTCAAAGTTCAAATCTCAAATCTAAGGTCATATTGGAATTTGCTCAAAAAGATTTGCTCAATTTGAAAGTTCCACTTTTTTGTCCTTTTGAAGGTCACGGAAGGTCAACCAAAGGTCACATCTCTAGATATGTAATAGATTATATTGGTATATATACATGATATAGAATAATATCAGTTCATAAAGAAAAAAAGAAAAGCTTAAAAAGCTATAGGAGGTGCTTTTCAGAGGGCCTCCTCATTATATATCAGATAGTAAAAATGCTAAAAGGTAAGACCATCAATAAGTTTTTTCTTCACTGACTAGATAAATGAATACTGTAAATCCACTTGAGCTTGTTAGATATTATATGGTAGCCCAACAGTTGCTAATGCTGTGTAAACTCATTTCACACTACATACTGTCATAAAAACAATTGGCAAGGGCCACTCTATTTCTGGAACCCACTAGAATATACTATGTACAAGAAAAAACAACTTCTTGGCTATTGCCTTAGATTATGAAAGCAGATCTATGCGATCTTCAGAGTTGCCATTCTTCATAATGCTGATATGTTTTCAGGAGGTTATAGTGCCAATTACTAAGGCAACAGGCTGATATGTCAGTTACCATGGAAATGCCAAGCTCAGTGAGATCATATCTGCTATTTTAGAGATTGAATGATAAATCTTCATTAATGACTTCGCATTTCTATATTGAAGAAAGATGCATATCATTCAGCAGATAATCACATTTTCTCTCATTTTTTATTCCAATTTAATACATATAAATATTCAGTGCATTGCTGAAGTTGGTGGATGTTTTTTACAACAAATTATATATCAGTCCTTGTTAGAGGACAATGTGCTAATGATATGATGGTCAAAGGGTAGAGTTCCTTGTGACATCATTCCGCAGATAATCACATGAAGAGCTCTATTGAAATATTAATAATAGAAAGATGAAAGAAAGAAAGAAGATGCATATCATTCAGCAGATAATCACATTTTTTTCCTATTTTATTCCAATTTAATACATATAAATATACAGTGCATTGCCGAAGTTGGGGGACGTTTTTTACAATAAATGATCTATCAGTCCTAGTTAGAGGACAATGTACTTATGGTATCATGATCCCTGTGATATCATTCTACAGATAATCAAATGAAGAGGTCTCTGTCCTAGTTAGAGGGCAATGTACTAATGATATGATTGTCAAAGGGTAGAGTTCCTTGTGATATCATTCCACAGATAATCACATGAAGAGATCTGTTTAAAGTTTAAATGAGGAAAACATGTTAAACATGATAAACTTCATCAGAGAAGAGTTTAGCTATTGAACAACAGTTTATATCAAAGTCAAGTCAGACTGTACTTTTTAGTAAAACCTGTCTTAGCGAACAACTCTCTTTATATTAGTGAACATATCTCTATTGGACACCCCTCCTCTATACTTACTCTACTGACTTCTGTATAAAGTACTCTCTCTGTAGAGCCTGTAGTGAGCACCTACCAACAATGAATGTTTTTTTCTCGGCAAAACAATGTTCATATTAGTCTATATATATACAGGATTTACTTTACTTGGGGAACCCTTGGCAATACAAATTTTTAAATATTAATAATTTAAATGATCAATATTTATTGTTAATTCTATTTCATGCATATTTAAGTTGCTAGTTTACACAGCAGAATTATTTTCAATTCTCTCTTAAATTTTTTCCCAAAGATATAATAAAATATAACATTACAGGATGAATTACAAACTGTCAAAAAGTGTGCTACTCTCATTGTAAAGTGATAAACATGATCTAAGATATATATGGAATTTGAGTTAGAAAATTGTATTTTGATAATTATTTCATTCATGAGTAGACTAAGAGAACACAAGAGGAACACAGACACAATAGATATCATTGTTAAAGTTTGTTTCCTGTCCTCGACCGCAGCTTCACTCAGTTGTTTAATATTCTTCTTTGATCGTCTGACAGACTGAACCAGTTTAAAGTTTAGTATTGAAACTGTGATCACAGGTCCAGTGTATTTCAAGATGATGCCAAAAATGTCAGGTAGTGAATTTTCACAGAAACCAACACAAAGGGAAATTGGAAGGTTTAATATAACGGATGAAATTGTCAAAACTCCCACTGATATTCTCATACGTTTGATGGTAACAATACTTGGAGCTTTAAGTGGTTTTGCGATGTGAATATATCGGTCAACTGTCACCAAGACAACCATCCATATTGCCAGTGTCCAAGTGGTGTTTGTTAATAATATTCCAGCTCTGAAGAAACCGACTTTCAGATTGATATAAAGATTTAAGTCAAAATCAATGTTTATACCAACTGGCAATGTAAATATGGTATAACACATCAAAAAGAGTAAGTCTGTGACAGCTAGGGATTTTAGCAGAAACACACGTGTGCCTTTTGTTTTATCTTTTGACAGAACTATCAGTACTAAAATGTTTCCTATCAATCCAAATAGAAGTGCAACTATTTGTAGTATTAATATCACAATGTAAAAGTACAAAAAGCAACTTTTATTTGCCTTGTAGTCCAAGTAGTCACTGTAATCTAAGCAGTCCAATTTGCCCAGTAGACTTTTGTTTGCGTTGAAGCTGTTGTTCAGATAAGTATTGTTGTAGTCCAGTAGGCGCATATTGTTCAGACTTGCAATGCTGGAGCTGGCATTGTTCAGACTTGCATTGCTGAAACTCACGTTTATCAGACTTGCATTATTGAATCTCGCATTTATTAGACTTGCATTGCCGAAGCTTGCATTATTCAGACTTGCATTATTTTGATTCATTCTTTTCTTATATGCAATACTCGTTATGACATTGTTTTAATATTTTGTATTACTTGTCCAACTAATTTCTGTTCCCACTTAAATGTTACAGGCATACTTTAATTCAATATGAATCTATCCATTGAGCTTCAGATCGTTTATTCTTTGTTTGAGTATCTCAGTATAGCTAGTAAAATAATAATGATTTCCAAGAACGGTGTGCCTATATACACAATCTTGAATCTAAATTATTAATTTTTACAGCCAAAGCATTTGTTGCAGAAGACTGTTACACTCTGAACAATTTTATAAACGGGGGTCCACTGTATGAAATTAGACAGATAATTTCAAAGATAATTCAACCATGCCAACCCAGTCAACAGAAGTCCATATCATCTACTCCACAAAAGGGCCCTGTTCCTGTGTCTAATCCTTGTAATGTTGGGGGAAGCCAACTTGATCATTCAGACACAAATGATGAAATGAATCTGATGCATGATAATTCTCAGGTTGAGTTAAATTCTCAGATAAATACAGTTGAACTGAATGATCTGCATATGAAATTTGCCCAGTATATGAAGAGGACCAATGAAATGAATGAGCTTGAACGTAAATGGGAACGAACATTGGATT